ATACAACTCAACTAACGCCTTCTACGAAGGCTAACTTTCATAATACAACGATGTTACATTCAATTCCAAAAGATTGGCGGTCCTAAAAACCTCACCCTAATCGTATATAATAATTCAATTTTCGCCAACAAAGCTGCCTTAACGTCATAAAGCGGCCGCCTCATCATCGAGCCGTAACCACTGGCCAAGAAGATTAATATCACCCAATTAATTAAAGAAATTAAAAATTACCAAATCAAGCTTAATTCCGCAAAGAGCTAAACGACAACAACAAACATTTAACGCCTTAATAAAATAGCACTATTTTAGAAATTCATTTAGCCTCAACACCTGCCTTTCGAAAATAGACTTACTACCAAGCTCCAACATACTCCACCATTCGAATCGCAAACGCCAAGACTTTATACGACCTACTAACAAAACAACACCTACAAACGGCATCACGAATAAACAAGCAAAGCAACATAAAAATATTTAGAACGTAACAAAATATCCTATATAAATATAAATATCCTTTAAGCCTCCAATAAATTCCAATTCGCTAACGACACAAAGAATACAAAACCAGATTTACTAATATAACGACTCCGACCACCTACGAACAAACCCAAATAAAAAAGATTCGATAAATTATATAATCTCAAAAAACAACACAAACTACCATGCTAATATCCTCGAATACATTCCAAATAACCCAGAACTCACAACAAAATTAAAACACCTCACGAAATACAATATTCCTACCATTCTTCCCCTCTTAGTTTCCTTAATAATCAATATCATTTAGCATTATAACATAAAGCTACCTACTATGTCTAAAAAACCTTAAAATAAATATTTTAGCAAAATAATAGGAATTAAACATAAGAAAAAAAATATACAGAGGATAAGTCTCAAAAATAGGAAAAGAAAAAAATTAAATTTAGAAATAAGAAAGAAAAAAAAAAGAAAAGAATAGCAATACTCTAGGACAAAAATATGAAATAGATACGAAGAGCAAATGATAAAAACACTTTATTAGATGATGTTTCAATACGCGGAAAAAAAAATATAAAAAATAGCCCTCCGTCGACCTAAGTCTAGCGGACCTAGCCCCAATGGACCTAGGTCCACGGAGGGCTATTTTTCCTATGTTTTTTTCCTATTTTAGGGATGGGGATGCGAAAACCGTCCCATTTTTCAATTCCTATTTTTAAATTTAAAAATAAAAATACATCCAACAAATATAGATAAAATAAGAAAAAATAATTCACCCCAAAAAAATAAGAAAAACTACGAAAAATAACCCTCCGTGCACCTAGGTCTAGCGGACCTAATCCCAGGATACTAGGCCTAACCCCGGCTAGACCTAGGTCTAACGCTAGCCCCCAATGCATATAGGCCTAACCCCGGTGGTCTAATAGACCTAAGCCTTGCCCCGGTAGCCCCTATTTGGTATCAATTTAATGGTTGTTTTTGTTGTCAATCCTATTTTATTCCTATTTTAGGATCCTATTTTATTTCCATTTTTTTCCTAACAATATATATTTCTAAATATTCCAGAGATAACAATAATTTTTTTCTTTCATAAATTTAATAAATATCCTAGACAAAAAATCCTTAACTACCTCTTCGATAACTCAAGCCACGAATAACACAATCAACAATTATATTCAAATTACAAAACGACCATTCCTAACCTTAATCGAACTTCAAAAAAAAAAAGAATTTTAGATCAAAAAGACCCAATAACCTTCGTAACCGAACGTCCTACGAATAACCAAACCTCTACCAATCCAAACAGACCAACAACGTCTCGTAAAAAATAACGTCGCACCAAAACAATAAGAATGTAGAACCAAATAAAAAAAACATATATAAAAGAAATGAAAATAAGAACCAAAAACAAATACCGCAATACAATCCTTATGGATACCCATATAAAGCTTAGAAAATACTAGCGCTCATCATACCGGCGCGCCAGCCAGCGAACGTAACCTTCGCTTGCGGAATACAGCCTCGGAACCTCTTCCCTCTTCCACCGATATAAATACCAGCCTAAACATGAGAATTAAGTAGCATACAAATCCCTCAACTTATTGATTTCACCCTATCACCCTTTTAGCAGAAACTCCCCCGACCCAACGCAGCTAACACTACGCGCATAACCTACGCCAATGGCTTCGTAAGCTGTGAAAAGGATGTGGCCGTTCTTTAAGCTTTGTCTTTAAGAATGGGATCCACTTTACACTTTATGCGGGATTCCATGGTGCTACCCTTATATATATATATATAAATTACTAAAATAGATAATATAATTCAACAACATATTTAGACATTAACTATATATATAATAACTATATTATTTTATCATTTCAAAAACTTCTCATTCATTTATATAATATTGTTCTTTATTGACATTTATATTGCGAATTGTAAAGATCGAACCTAAAGAACGAAACTAATTATTGGGCTACTTCTCGAATTTCCACACAACAGGATTCTTGCAAATTTTGACCTTCTCGCAGGCTTATCGAATAGAACTCAGCCATGCGACGCTTGTTCGGAAGATTTCAGCCCATTCCAAGGCACCTAAGGCAGTGGACCTGCCCTCGGGCACCGCAAAAAAAACAAAAAAATCTTCGACGCAAGGGACACACATGGTGTGGTCGTGCAAGTGCGGATTCGCACGGCGAGAGAGGGGCGATGCAAGTATTCGTACGTCCGGAAAACACGTCCAGGTCGCAGTCTTTCGATTTTTTTTGAGGCGTCCAGAATTGCCAAACACTGTATTGAAGGTATTGAAGGATGTCTGTGTTGGGCCCAAGTTCACCCAATGAAGCGCATGGAAAAAGCCTGGAGCTATAATGGCTATCCTATCTACTCTTGCAGGTATCACCCCAGGCCACCAAAACCTCACCGATCTGTGTCAAGCCGGCCTAAACCTCACCGGTCCCCTTCGAGCCCCGAGGTCTACGGCAATAGAATCAAAAAGATCCATCCGAAGGCCTTCTGCTTGACCATCATCCATCGAAGCAGCAACACCGTGTGGGGATTGCAGGAGTATGCGTATACGCAATGTCAGCTGCTGAGGAAAAAACATGAACGAACAACTTATGATTGAATGACATTTTATGGCCTGTTTCCTTTATTATTAACTCTGGTCTTCTGAAACCCTCCTACTAAGAAAGCCAAGAAATGCATGTTCTTTCAGGGTGAAGCGGGAGTAGCTCCCGCTCAGTCGAAAATGCTGTCGATGAGTTCGTCCACGTCCAAGGAGTCTTCTTGGGCATCCGGATCCTGCAGGACTCACAGCCTTCTGATCCAAGTCCAATCGAGCTCAAGAAATATCCCTTCTGAGCTCGTGATCGGGACTGGACCAGGTGCAGGGACAGGTTGCCATCTGAATTGGGGTGAATGAACCGGATCCCAAAGGCTCCTCTTGATGTAGGGTGCTCAAACAACGATGAAAAAAGGACCCCCTGAAAGGGCCAAAGGATCCGAATGGTCCGAACATCGATCAGATGCACTTGTTTGGAGTCTCACATTTCCATCAGTATACCGCTGGATCGGCAAAAAGAACAGAACGGATCTTGCAACGGGCTCCTTCTTCGGATCTTGTTTTCGCATGTGGTTTCCGCACGGTGCAGCTCAGTCCCCAAAGTCCCCAGTTCTCACACTCTCCTCTATCTTCACCTCCCGCACTTCAACGGAAGAGAAGATCTCATCCAGGAAGGACTCGACATCCTCTCGCCACGAGCTCATGTGATTCATATGAGTCCCATCTGAGCCCACCAAAGCAGGGTGTAAGGTTGGTAGGTGGCAAACCCGACCTCGGGACTTGATAATGTGGACAGTTTGATGGTATTTTTTGTAAAACAATCCGGTGCTTCTGCTTTTGTGGGACAGCTGGAGCCAAATCGAGGACTGGCTGGGATGGGGGAGATGGAGACTTGTATGGTAGAATGGGTATTTGCGCAATGATGTGTAATGTAATCCTGAATCTACGGATCTATTTGATTCGACTTGTGGGTATATAACTCACCGGCATGAAGCTTCTAGATCCAATGACAACCACACTCGGAAACGTCTCATCTGGGCCTCTGCTCTTGGGTCTGAGTTGGCAGGGGATTTCATGGGCTGTTGGGTTGAAAGCATAAAATCACGCAATGATCGATGGCAGGTCTGGCGCTCTGGCGCTCTTTGTTGCTCATGCGGCACCGTGGCACTGCATCTGGTCTCCGCTGTCCCCACTTTGCAACAACAGCCACGCGGAACAAAGAAGACTCAAACTGCATTTTCAGGTCACAATCCGGGTGACATATCAGACCTTCCAATCTAGAATG